AAAAAAATTCTCAATGCGGTTGAAAATGGCAGGAAAACGATGAGTCAAACAGCAATGGTGCAATGCAGACACCAGCTGTCCGACGTGAAATTTTCTTAGATGTCTTCCGCTTTCCAGCATTCCAAGGGTTTCTTAAAATTCATGCTTCGATACGAATTTTGTAAATTTTTGATTTACTTCTCGAAAAATCTTCAGACAGAGCCGAATTTAATTAAAACTCAACGCAAAATCGTCGTAGCAAAAAGAGCCGAAGATCTGATGGAATTTGATGGAAATCGTGATTCGAAATCTCAATATCGAACGAAGGCCGCTTCAAAATTAGGGAATAAATTACAAGCATTTCGCCTCATCATACCATTCTTATTTTATTTTACTCCGAACAGAGATACTCGAACACAACCTTTGTTGATGATAATACATCTACTCCTCAATGAGTCAGAAAACACACCGTGTAAATCATAATATTCATCAATTTTAATGATTTGCATAAATTCCTAAAAAACGGTGAATTGGAAAAAAATCAACAGTAAATGCTTTTCTTGCAACAGATTCAACCTTGGAAGCCCCGTTTCATGTCTGACAAACCTATTTAAAACTGCTCCTCGGTCAAAAGCATTCGCGAAGATCTTCGTTAAATTGCCAGTTTAAATTATCACTGCTATTATGGATCAGTGGGAATGACGATAGTAAACGAGATGATGTACAGTATAAACCGTTTAAATCGGTGCGTAATGTTTTTCCACGCCGTACTTTAATTTTGAATGCGAACGTAAGACTGACTTTCTCGGAATTTAAAAAATGGCACGTTTTTCCAGAATTTCAGAGGCGGAAGTCGTGGATTTTTCCAGAAAGTAAGAAGGGCGATCACTCTCACTGATGTCACGCAGTGATTAATGTTCTGTTCCAGAAGCATTTTTCTTTCAAATAATGAACGTCTCGAGGGGGAAAAATATAAAACATAATATATCCCAGCCCTTCAAGCACGGCTTTCAACCCGTTCTTCTAATTAATCACTCTAGACGGATGCTTACGACCTGTGAGACGAAAAAAAATAAAAGACTTCAAGTTACGCTTGGACATCCAGGACGAGAAATTGGAATTTCAGGCCCATTATCCAACACTTACATATTTTTTCGCGAAAATTGAATAGTTGAAATTAGGGTGGGCTTTTTGTAATCGATATCATTTTATGGTTGATGGCGCCAACGATTCCGAGGCTTCAAGATCATGATTGGTAATCACCGACATGAAGATTGTCTGAAATTCTAATGCGGTAAATAAATATTTTTGCTGCTGAAGGTTAAAAGCATGATCATAATAATTCATCATATGCTACCTGAAGTGTTTGCAAATGTTGAGTTGGTGTAGAATGAACGGACTCCTTTCGAAACTTGAGGACTTGAATATAATGAGAGTGAGCAGTAAATTTAAAAAAAAAAGTGTGTTCAATTCCGATGCACGAAAAGTGAGGTTCAAGTGAATACGGTACTAAAAATAATGCACGCATCAGTAAATAACGGAAATTTCATCAAAAAATGAAATCAGGGTCTTCTGCTCAAATTTCCGAAAATTATTAGTAGATATAGAGTCTGAATATACAAAATTTTTTTGAAAATGAGCCTCCACGTTTAGAAACACACAATTTTGAAATCAAATAAACTTTACGACCGAAAAGTTTGAGTGGATAGAAAGCTTTAATAACAAAAAACCCCAAAAAAGAAGAAGAACTAAAGAAGGTAAAAACCTTAAATGAACATATAACCTCTCAGCAAAACTGTTAGCAAAAGGCCCAATTTATATTGAGCTACAGCGAGACATAGGAGTCTAAACCTGTTTTTTGATAGCCCCACTTCATTGATCTTTCACATCCGCATTTATTTAAACATAAAGATATAATTTAAATCTAATTTTCTTTTACCTATTCTTCACTTCATCCGAAAATACGTCCTGAAATTTTCTAGGACGCCCCTGGAAACTCCAACCAGCGTCCTAAAGTCTCCGTGAGATCCTTCAAGGATCCTCAATTTTACTTCCCTACAATTTCTCTCGAAGTGCAATGTATTTTTTTTTAAATCGGAATAAATGTGTCTTTAAAAAATCAGGCCCCACTTTTTTAAAATCCAAGAATTCCAATAATTTTCTGAGAAGGAAAAAAAAAAAAAACTTACCGAACGCCGTAGGGACTGGGGGTCATCCGCGGGGTCCACATGTGTTGGGGGTAGTCGCGATAATCCCGGCGCTCTTCCTTGAACTCGGATAGCTCCTGAGTGAGCGTCAGGGACGCCGTGGCGGCGGCGGCGACTACAGACCCAGTGGCTACCGAAGACGACGCCACATCGTCCGACGACTCCATCCCAAACACTTCTTCTTCGTCATCTTCCTCGCCGTCGTAGTCGAGGGACGCCGATCGCGGCGTCCTGCTTCCTCCTCCTCCGCCGCCGCCATTGCCGCCCCGCTTGTTGTTGTTGAGTCGATGTTGCCTTCTGGCGGCTGCGAAGTGCTCCTCTCGTTCTGCGATGTCCGCCAGATGGCGGTACGCCGATCTGCTGTTACCACCGCCTTTGCCTGGAAGGATTTACACGAGGGAAAATAAGGGAGATGAAACAACAAGTACATACTGTACAAAGATCAATTGTCTACATAACCATATTCTCTGTATAACAAATTTTCTTCCAGTCGCAAAGGTAGGGTAATCTTCCCAGATTGTACTGTTTTTTTTTTTACAACGAAATTCTCTCTAAAACGATTATTTTCCCTGGTCCATTGACAACATATTCATAGAACACAGCCCGATTTCGAGAAGTGATTTCATGCTCGCAAAAAACGTGTAAATTTCTCGTTGTTAAGCGGGACTTTCAAAAAGCCAGCCGAGGAGAGATGTTCTCAAAAGATTAGAGGAATTCGCCCATTTAGAAGGAATTCAAGCTTCAACATTTTCAAGTATTTGTGCGTCACTTTTCGCAAAACCTGCCAATCGAACACTTTGTTTTTTTTGGGTGCAGAATTCGGTTCAGAGAAAATTTCAGGTTAATGCGCCTTGGATGACTGATGCGTTATTTTTTTTTTGCATTTAGATTCACAAATATTAATACAGGGGGAATCTATAGCTACAATGATCTTGTCTACAACTATTTCTCTCTGTAGAATGGAATTTTTTGGGTCCAATTAGATATTTTTTCCATGTTATAGGGGTTCTTGCAACGAAATTCTCTGTATTGCACAACGATTTTTTGGGACCCATTGGGTTCACATGAAGGTTCCTCTACAACGAAATTCTCTCCACAACGATTATTTTCTGGTCCCTTGAATACGGTACCATTGTAGAGGGAGTCCATCTGTATGAATATTATTATTATTACTGTATTATTCTATTATGCACTGTATATATATTTTTTTAATTTTTGTCATAATCCCCCAACGTTTACCTTTGGAGTGACGCTGTCGTCCGACGTCGTCACTGGACGGCGGCTGTTGTTGTCCGTCGTAAGACGACGACGACGACGGGGATTTGGCGCCGTTGCGAGACCTGGACGCCGCCAGAATCTCTCGTCGCATGCTTTCCGTCGGCGACTGGGACGCCGCGGGATCCCCGAGCAGGAGTCCGTCACTCGTAGGCGTCGGCGTCGGGGTCGGCAGTGGCGACGCCGACGAGTACTCGTCCTCGGACGATTTGTTGTGATGGCGTCCGCCGCCCGTGGACACGGACGCCGCCGCTGACGCCGGGGCGCCGTCGGGGTCTTGACGCGTCGGGCTCAGACTGCCGGAGCTGCGATCGGAATTCGGACTATTGCCGCCGTTGGCCAGCTTCATCTTGTTGTTGTTGTTCGTCTTGTTGTTGTCGGGCATTTTGCTGTTGCTGCTGACTGGCTTGTTCATGTTGCTCGACTTGCTGCCGCCTCCTCCTTTCGTTAATCTATAGTGTGGAGAGAAAAATGCGGAAGACGAGGGAATTTATAAATCCACAAGAGATACAAGTTGAAGAAGAAGTGTAATATCATATCGATTTTTCTGGGCTATTGGCCCATGTGATTTTTCTGTATTTTTTTTCTAAAAGGTCTATTCTTGACCAGAATTTGAATTCAATAGTTGAAGAAAAGCCTTTCAAGTGTTGATTTGCCATAACACTGCTGAAATTCTCGTGACTAAACCAGGTAAAAAAAATGTGGGTCAAATTAAAATAATTAAAATAACATAAAAAGTGGGCCGCATATTTCATTGGCTACAGTAATCAGGGTGTTAAAACCTCCCAAGTTGAAAATGCAATTAAATTTTAAAGGCCGATTTTGAAATTACGTAAGAAAAACGCCGATTCTGGGGTTCGAAGATTCATTCCAACTACTGAAGAGATATTGCACGAATTTCTTTGCAAGAGGCGTGTCCAAATATTTCTGAGAAAAATCTCATACAAATCTCCTCTGCTTGGCGAGAATCTTGGTCTACATTATTCACCACATTTTAAATTTAAATTGACCATGTCCATAACTTTTTTGAAAATCATGCTACAAAATTGTCCTCAGTTAATCAGTCATTTTAATGACTCCACAATATTCAAGCTGCTTAATGTTTTTTACCTATACAAAAAATAAATTAGCTTGCGAATCAAGTATTGTACTCCATCGGTTCCAAGACGCAGCTTCCTTTTTTGAAGTAATGTACTGTAATTCATTCATTTCCAAAAACATTTTTTTGAAAAATCACGCATTTGGCGACGATACGAATGGATTTTGAAAATCAGATGCAAGAGGAGTGTCCAAATTTTCCTGCAAAAAGTCCGTCCAAATCTCCTCTATTTGCTGAAAATCTTGGTCATAGTATTTATCCGAGTACTATTTAACTTTCTGTACCTCCCAACAAATCCGGTGCGTCTATAAATATAAGAAAATGGATCGAAAAAATAAAACTGCTTCGCGACCTTTATCCCACAAATGAACAGCATTCAACACAACATCTAATCAATTTAAAAAGTAATAAAAAAGGAAAATTAGCTAAACGGCAAGTGTAAAAAACAGCAACCATGCACAAAATAACATGTGCGAAAACACTCTGACCAGTGCTCGGATATACACAAATACTGGCCGCACCCGAATTAATTCTGGCATCCATTTATTTTTCACGCTAAAAGATACACGATAGTTGAAGCAGCAATCAAACTATGCTTTTTTTTCGTCTACGAAAATTTTTTTTCGTCTGAGAAACCTGGAAATTATCTACTTCCACAGCAGACCAGCCCTCGTCACGCCGCTCAGCACGAAAAAAGCCACCAAACCGAACAAGTACTAACAAACACTTTTGAAAATGACGATGATAATAATAATAAAGCAGAAAATGAACTCGTCCGACCGAGCCCAAAAAATGTGTTAAACACGGAAGCAGCAGAAGGAGAGAAAAAAGGAATTCCTGCAAAGGTCAAGAAAACCTTCCCACTCGAATTGCTCACGTGCCGCGACGAGCCAACACCGCAATTCATTCATTATTCTCCTTCAGTTGTAGTGAATTAACGAGGAAATGTTAGCATCGATTGAATAAAACACGTTAACAAAGAGTTGTAAAGTTAATGCAATTAAAAATACGAGGAATCCGGTTCCCACAGGTGGAATGCGGCGAAAAGGGAGAAAAGTGATACGAATCTTTTTTTTGCACCTTGAAGAAAGAAGGTGTCCGGAACTTTCGTATAACATCGAAGGGCAATTTTAAAATTTTTGACCTTTTTATAAAGAGTGTTTCTTCACTTAACCTATCTTTTTTGTTTCCTTTGGAAAAATTTAGTCGACGAATGCGACTTGCAAATGATTTCGCACTCGGTTGGTTTCCACCGAAGAGAATAGCTGATGATTCCCGAAAAAGCTTCAAAATTCACTTGGGATTCAGGAATATATTTTTCATTTTTTCCACGAAACCTTCTAAAATTTTGTTTAAAAATTTCGCTTTGATGACATACGGCAGTCAACTGAAAATGCGCTGGAATCACTCAAAACAAACATCAGGTTCTTGTTGCACGTACAGAACCTGAAACTGCTTAAACAAAAACACATCCTCATCCATATCTGAGCTTCATTATCAACTAACGAAGGGATTTGAAAAATTTCGGCTTATTTTCGCACAAAAATGAAATTTTAATTCATTTGTACAATTTATTTTGCCACAAAACCTCAGAAATATGCAAAACATTCGCCCTATAAATGCCAATGAAAGCGTGCAGGAATCTCTCAAAATGATACGCAGGTATTTTTTGAAAATACATGAAGCTGGTTAATTCAAAATCAACCTGAATTTGACAAAAAAAATCCTCATCCATATCTGTGCTTCATTCTCGAACCATGAAGACAATTTAAAAACTTCCTGGACATTGTCACAAGAAACACAAGAAAATCAAACAATTATTGCGATTTACGACTCCAACAGCAGTCCACGGGTTTCCGTCGTCATAGATGTAACGCGACGATTGTGACGACAATTTTTGAGACAAACCTTCAAAATTGACCATAGGCATGCACGAATAATTTTGTTTCTTTTATTTTGCCCCGAAACCTTCTCATTAAAATGTGAAAAATTCAGCCTTAATGCTACACGGCGTTCAACTGAAAACCTGTCGGAATCCCTCGAAATGATGAAAAGGTTCTTGTTGCAAAAATATGAAGCTGGTTCAAAATCAACCCGACACCGATAAAAAAAAATCCTGATCCATCTCTGAGCTTTATCGTCCTAAAATCGCGTAGAAAATTTACAAGCTTCCGGGTCATTTTCACATAAAAAATTAAACAATTACTGCAAATCAAATCCACGGGGGTCCGTCGTCACAGATGTGACGCGACGATAATTTTTGGAAATTGAATTTTTTTTTTAAATAAATTGAAGAAAAAAACAAAGATTGACGATTTAAAAATTGCTTTGGTAGGTGATCTAAAAATTTGAAAGAACTTCGGGAAAAGAACAAAGAAGGCGAAGCAGGGAAGCACGAGAGTCATGCGAGCCGCGCCGGTGGCCGCGCGGAGCTTCGCGGATGCCGGCCGGAGTTAATTAGCGGGCCGTGCCCAGCACCCCGAGAAACCGAATATACGACGCTTCTTTTTAATTCCTTCCCTCGCCTTCTTTGCTACACTATCCTCCACTTCTTTTATATTTTATTTTTATAATTTCTCAAGTTCAGTGTAATTCAATACCCTCAGCATTCAAGTTCTTGTTTTTTTTTCTCTTCTTTTGTTCCCTAGCTTAGCAGGAAAGAAATTTCGGGCCAACTCCGAAAAACGATGATACTCGGGTCAAGAAACGGAAAATAAATAAAAATATATAAAAAATACATTCGAATAACATAAGAATGTACATTCAGCTTCGAATACATTTGTCGGCCCGATTTACGACATTATTTAAAATGCAACAAATGTATCGTAAAATAATGTGAGAAACCGAATACTGTATACCATGCTTCGTTTTAATTCCTTCCCTCGCCTTCTTTGCCACACTATCCTCCCCTTCTTTTTTGTTGTTGTTTTAAATAATTTCTCAAGTTCAGCGTAATTTAATACCCACGATCCTCAGCATTCAAGTTTTTTTTTTTTTTTTTTTTTTTTTTTTTTCCTTTTTTTTATTATTATTCTAGTTTTTTTTTTTTTTTTTTTTTTTTTTTTTTTTTATTCCCTAGCTTAGCAGGAAAGAAGTTTCGGACGAACTCCGAAAAACGATGATATTCGGGTCAATAAACGGAAGATGAATAAAAAACATATTCGAATTAAATTCTATTGTACATTCAGCTTCGAATATATTTGTCTGCTCGATTTACGACATTATTTAAGTTGCAACAAATGTATTGCAAAATAATGTGAAAAACCAAATATACGATGCTTCTTTTTAATTCCTTCCCGCGCCTTTTCTGCTAAACTATCCTCCACTGTTTATTTTTTATAATTTCTCAAGTTCAGTGTAATTAAAGACCCTCAGCATTCAAGTTCTTGTTTTGTTTTAATCCCTAGCTCTATAGCAGGAAAGCAACTTCGGGCGAACTCCCGCAACCGATGATACTCGGGTCTAGAAACGAAAATCAGGAAAAATGCATAAAAACCATTCAAATTAAATTCTAATGTACATTTATCTTCGAATACATTCGTCAGCAGCGCGATTTACGACATTATTTAAAATTTAAAGAATCCCCATTTGAGTTGACGGGGACAACATGAGAGAAACTTGGGTTGACAGCGCAATGACCAAACATTATTATTCAAGTACAGTACAAACAATACGAAATGAATTTCAAAGCAAAACTTTATTCGAATATAAAATATTTAAATTTTAAAAATATATTTGGAAAATATAAGACAACCTTGGAGAAACGTACCTTTTTAAAGTTTAATCCGAATGGAAGAAACGACAGAAACTCGGACGAAGTTTGGTCAATGACGGGACATTTTTTTCAAATGATACCCGGAAGAAAGAAAATTCGAACTATTCTACTTTCATTTATTTCGAACGTTTTTTTAATGGGATTCAATTATATTTTTAATCCCATCTTCAGTCAAACTTTAAGGAATTTTCGAGAAATATTAGGGTCAAAGAAGGATACTTTTTGTCAGAAAAAAAAAATAGCGATGAAAATGCTGATAATTCGGCCGTTTGCTCCTCATCTTCGATTGGAAAAAGTCATTCTTTTGACACCCAATTTTTGCATTTGTACAACATGTTTTGGGCATTTGAAGCAAATAAAACTTTAGGCGATGAATTTCATTGATCATATTGCAGAAATCTATCTTTTTTTTTTTTAGAAAATTTTCAAATTGAGGGGATTTTTCAGAGCCCCATTTCGATGAATTCCAAGGTAAACACAAGAAGCACTCGAATAAAAAAAGTCGTCGATTCGAATTCCGAGCATTTGTCAGATGTTTGGATCACTTCGGGAAAATACCTGGAACTGGAAGAACCTTA